CATTTTAGATAATGCAATCTTTCATGATCCCATGCTGCATGTCATTCCGCAACGGGGCTACTATGGCAAGAGATTAGATAGCTCGTGCACTTCAGCAAAGTGCTTGTACATGGACTGGCTCAGTCATGTACAAAAATTGCCACCTAAGTTCTTCATAGAAGGATTCAGGGGCACGTGATAGACCGTCTCAAGTCTATCCAGTGGATGAAAAAGACCTCCGTGAAAAAAGCCATCAAGGCAGGTTAAGCACTTAGATATCTTGTCTGACGTTACCCTTGTTTGGGTGACTGCACATAGAGATTATTATGGAAATGAACAGGCAGATGAGCTTGTTAGAACGGGATCTGCTCTTGTTATCTACAACGCCGTTAGGTTTTATCAAGAGCAGTATACTCATATGTTTTCTTCAAAAGGCTGAAAATAGGTGGAATAACGTAGACAAATGTAAAGAGGCCAAGTTATTGTGGCTCTCCTTCAATGAAAAACGCACAAGGCACCTTATAAACTGAAGTAAGCGGTATATTTCGAGATTAATAGAAGTAATAACAGGACACGGGGTGCTGGGTGCAGACATGCCAGTCGGCTTGGGCTTCCCTTCAATGAAGACTGTCGCAGTAGCAAAGACTGGGAAATGAAGAAAAAGTCTTTCATATTCTCTGCGAATACCGTGCTCTAGCCGTTAAGTGAAACAGTTTTCTTGGCAGTTCTTAATTCACACAAACTAAATATATTACAAAACTCTCACTATTCAATTACATAGAACTTATTAAAACTAATAGAAATAAAACATTTGTTAATGCTCTCATATTCTCTGTGTATAAAGAACAATTGCTACTTTAAATATTTCAACCTTGAGCTACGTAGAGCTAATGTTTTAAATGTAAATTTGCCATTAAATATGATTATACTATTGAGAAATTATATTTTTTCTCAGTATTCATTTAAACCTCTTTATTTATGTATTTGTTGTTTTTTTTTATTATTTTTCTTTATTTTCATAAAAACCACTTGACCCATAAATATTTCATTAACTTTTTAAAAGCACTTAAATTTTATAAAAATAAATAAATAGTGGTTAAAATAATAATTTTAACCATGTTCAACTATACTCTAGATACTAATTGAGGACATTGGTAAATTGTTTTAATACATTGGTTAGGGGTTAATATAACACATCTACATATTCTAAAACTAATACTAATGCCAAACTAATGCTAATATATATAAAATTGCTAAGTAAGTATGTTAGTTTGTTAACCGTTTTTAATAAATTTGTTTAAACCTTAAAAGACTTTTTCACTTTGAAATGCGAAGCACAAAGTGATAAAAAAACCTAACCGTTGAGAAGTAAAAGCGAGTAAAAAAGAGAAGTGAAAAGTTCATTGTTCATGTCAATAAAAAAGTACCAAATAGAAAAGGTTTTATATAAAACCATAGAAACCCTATGATAGCCTGGTACGAAAATTGTATAATAATACATATATACATACATATGTATATAAAGTTTACCTCTATAAGAGGTAAACTTGTTGGTTGAGGGTGTTGTGTGTGTATATGTATATGTATGTGTACTTGTGTAATTTTTACTATTTATACATTTTAACCATAAAACATTTAAACAATTACAAGTTTTTTTTTTTTTTTTTTGCTGGTAATAGCAATTTTGCTATTGTTTTTATTTGTTTTAAAAATTTTTAACATTTTATTTACACTGTCATTGACAATGTTGTTTTTATTTTATTTATTTGCTGTTTTTATTGTTGTTCCTGTGTTGTTATATGCAGAGATCTCTAATGTGCGTGTCAACACTATTTGTGGTTTTAATGGTATTTCATTGTACTAGTAAGTACATACATTTGTATACATACAAGTGTAATAACTTTACATAGCACTCCAACATGTATACATACACACATTAGTATGGTCCATTGTTGTATTAAAAAAGTTGAAGTACTTTAAGTAAATATAAAATTTATAGAAAAAGTAATATACAAGAAAAATGTGTTGGAAGAGAGGCAATCCAAGGCAATCTTAAGACAATTCAGGGAAGATATGTGAGCTCAATACCTTTTAGACTAATACAAAAGATAGACATCAAAAAAACTGTCTTAGTATCCTTTCTCAGATGACCTAATAGTTTCACTCGGGTATCAAACAATTATATCTATATAGATAGTGTAGCATAAGTCAAGGCATCTACCATACATATATACATATGCCTTCTCTATCTCTTTTAATTTTACAAAACTTAACCTGAACCCCTCTACTAAACATATAATAAAATTTATGAATAAACTGACAGTTAAAAACCTAAAACTTTTATTAAATTTATAAAAATTAAAAAAATGAACATTTAAGTGACAAGTTATAATTGAAATGAATTTTTGCTAAATGAAATTGAACCAGAGGGATTTGTGGTATAAATGGAATATATGTATTTACTTTATGTTATAAACAGGAGAGTTAGGGACATGGCTGACCTTATAATAATCTATTAAAGTAATTTGTTAATATTGTCCTTTTATGTAAGCTTAGTCCAACTATGAACCAATGCTTTCAGTCAGTTGTGGACTTTGTCATTCCGTTTGTAACATAAAGATATATTGGTAGTAGACCCACAAAAGTACATACATAAGTATACATATATTATGGGTCATTATTAAATCTATGTCCATCCGTCTGTCTGCTAAAAGCACGATAGAGTCAGAATATAATATGAACTGAAATCATATTAACAACGTAGATTTATATCGGTCTACTTATAGTTAGTCATAGCTCTCATACATATAAGGTCCACTTCTGAAAGTTACTTAAATGCACTCAACTAATTAAACAATAGAGATATTGATTCGATATAAATATTCGACATAAATATGTTTTGTATATATTTATATTTGTACTTATATTACTTTACAAAATATTTATCGGGTGAACAAAGCTCCCTTTATGAGGCCCATTTCCGATAATCACGTAAACTCACATATTTCATTACTTAATGAAAAATATCTTTGAATATCATGAATATCTTTGAAGTACATATATGAACCACATATGAGTTTTTTCTGGATCGGTTCATAAATGGTCATAGCTCCCATATAAGGTCCACTTCCGAAAATCAATTAAAAAACCATAACTAATTAAGAAATAAAGATATTGGAATAATATACAACATAATATGTTTTGTGTATACACATACGTATTGTGCAAAATATTTTTCGGATGGTTCTATAAATGGGCAAAGTTCCTATAAAAGGCCCACTTCCGATTACGACGTTAATGCACATACTTCATTACTGAATGAATATTTCGATATAAAATTAGACATGAATGTGTTTAAAGTACATATAAACCGAATTATTTTCTCCCATATACAACATTTTTCGATTTTTTTTTTCGGATCAATCCATAACTCGTAATATCTTCCATAAAAGGTCCACACATTAGTTATAGATGAAAATTATCTCCCTAAATGTATAAAGCAACTACTAATTTAGGTGGAATGTTTTTAAGATTTGTTATAGCCGAATAAAGCACTCTAACTTGTTTGAATTCCTTTTACACGAACGTATCAATCGTGAAATAGAAGGGATAGATGTATATATGTGATTAATAGGCCCATATATTGGTTTGAAACTATTATCGTGCGATTAAGGGAATCCGCTTCTAAATAAAAAAGCTAATGTTATTTAGGTAGAAATCTTTTTTATACTATAGACTATCAGATAGTCCCAATTTACTTTAAGTTTATGTTATACATTATATATTTTTTATACCCACCATCAAAAAAGATGGGGGTATATTGTTTTTGTCATTCCGTTTGTAACACATCGAAAAATTCATCTAAGACCCATAAAAGTATATATATTCTGGATCCTTATTAAATTCTAAGACGATCTAGCCACGTCCGACTATCTATCCATCTGTTGAAAACACGATAGAGTCCAAACGAAATCAGCTAGCGAGCTGAAATTTTGCACAAATATTTTATATTGATGCAGTTTGTTTGGTATTGAAAAAAGGCAATATCGGTCCACGATTTCGCCTAGCCCCCATATAAGGTCCCCTTTAGAAAATAACTTTAACGATCATAACTGACTAAAAGAAGCAGCTGTAGCGATGAAATTCGACATAAATATATTCTATAGGGACCTTAATATCTGTGTAAAATTTTATAAGAATCGGTCCATAATTGACCCTATCCCCCATATAAGGTCCTCTTCAGAAAATGACTTTAACGCTCATAACTGTCAAAAGGTACATAATTGACCCTACCCCCCATATAAGGTCCCCTTCAGTTGTGAAATTCGACATAAACATATTTTATAGGAATCTTAATAACAATGAAATGCAATGAAATTCAACATAAATATATTTTATAGGGACCTTAATAACTTTGTAAAATTTTATAAGGATCGGTCTATAATCGACCCTACCCCCCATATAAGGTCCCCTTCAGAAAATGGCTTTAAGGCTCATTACTGTCTAAAAGAAGCATCTATAGCGATGAAATTCGACATAAAATTAATCTATAGAAACTAAAATCGCTTTGTAAAATTGTATAACGATCGGTCCATAATTGATCCTACCCCCCTTAATGAGGTCCCTCTTAGAAAATAACTTTAACGCTTTTTACCACCTTATAAATACAAGTACAGCGACAAAATTCGACAAAAATTTCTCTATACATAGATATAATAAATGAGAAAATTGTTTTGCATCGATTCTTAAATATCGAAATTTATTTATAAGGAATCATTCCTTTTTGGCAATGATTTGATGGTGGGTATACAAGATTCGGCACAGCCGAATATAACACTCTTATTTGTTTCTCTCTCTCTAAACAATACTTATTATTAACACAAAACTCCAGACATTAACAAAGAACATATACATTACATTATATAGAGCACTGAAATCATTAATGTTTGCTTTTTCTCCATTTATAACAATAATATACACTTAGAAATATGTAAATATTTATGGTAATGTTTAGTACTTACCCATACTCATATAGAATACAGCTGCCACAATGTAATGCCATAAATGCATTTGCTGCAAATGCATTTTGATGTTTTTTAAATTTACCCTTTTATGATGACTTTTATAAATTTGAAACATTTTGTTTGTTTTTTTTATTATTTTTTATTTTTTTTATATTATTTCTATTTTAGATTTTCGCGTTTGTTCTGTTTGTTTGCTGGTGAGAGTGTCGTTAACAATTGATGTTAGTTACAATGCTTTGTAATAATAATGTAAGTATTGTTTCAATGACCTAGTTCTTTTTTCATTTTTCTTTTTTTACATCACATAAAATTCTAAGATCATTAATTTAAAAGCCAGCATAAAAAACGGAGAAAAAACTATAAACTAAACTATAAAATTATGTTTTAATAAATTATATGTGTACGAAATTGTTGGTAATTTTCATTTGTATATTATTAATATATTTTTGATTTAATTTGCTTATTACTTTTACTTATTATTTTGTTGCGTTAAAAGATATGATATTATATATATATAAAAAGAAGTTTATGTTTTTGATTTTTCTTTTTTACGAGATGACACACTCCAATTTTTTATGTCTTAAAGACGCCATTTTGTCTGAGAATTATGCATAAAAAGATTGTGTTGTTTTGCTAGGAGGAATTACGGAAATTTTTATGACTATATTTGTTTATTTTTTTAACTTCAAGTTAAATTCTTTTTTTGTTTTCTGGTTTGAATTTTTATGATTTCACTTGAGTTTGTTGAGTTTTTTTTTCGTTTTGCTATAAAATATTTTTGTTTTGTTGATGGTATTTTTTTTTATTAAGACGGACGGACATAAATTTGTTATATGACTATTTTATTTCGTTTGTTTTGTTGATTTATAAAATGCTTTAGATTTGTCCTTTTTGGAAAAAAAACAACAACAATTCTGTTGCTGTTTGTCTTTTTTTAGTAGTTGTTTATAGTTTTTATATTATTCATCATTAAGTAAAGGATTTTTTTTTGTGTAGTTTATTTGAAACTTAATATTTTTCTCTTTGTCACTTTCTCTCTTACTCTCGCTCTGCCCCACACACACACACACACGTTCTACGTTTCAATTGCTGTGTATAGTTTTTATGGCAATTCTATTTTCCGTTTCCGTTTTAGTCATTTTGTAGCAGTATTTACAGTTATGACCTCATTTAAATGTTTTTATTGTATTATAGTTGCTGTTGTTTGTTGTCTTCTAAATATTATGACTATTTCGTTGTTTCTTAACGCCAACACTTCAACGCTTATTTGTTTTAGAAAGAAGCCAAATAAATATAAAAAGAAAAGTATTTGCAGCGCGTTTCACCGATTATCAATAAATATTATTTTGTTGTTATTAGATCTGTTCGGTAAAGACTGTTTTTCTTAATATTTCAAAAACCTTTTGTTAGTTTTTTTTTTCTGTTAGTTAAAGGCATCATTTTCTATTGTTTTTCATTCGTTCGTTTTGACTTTTGTATTACTTTCCACTTTGTCATTGTTATCTCTCTATCTCTCAGCTATTTCTTTGGTATGATTTCTTCTTTTGTATGTGTTTGTGTTCAGAACATCCGTTTATTTTATTTATAGTGTTTACATTTTGTTAATGTTGTTGTTTTTGTTTTTTACGCTCTTCTTTTGTTCCTCAAAGGACTTTGAAAATTTATTGTTATGGTTCATTTGTTTATTGTACGTTTCTTCCATTAAATTTGTTCTCTTTTCATTTGTTAGTTTAGGTTATTATTGTTGTTGTTGTAGTGCCAAATCTGCAATGAATTTTAGATGATAAAAATCAGTAAAGGTAAAATAATGTTGCAAAAAAATGAAGGAATAAAAGTAATATTTGTTAATAATAAATCGATTTGTTTGAGGATTTATTAGTATTATTTATTATTAAGCTAAATGGGAATTAAAACTTAATTAATGTTTACTTATCTCTATCGAAGTTAAATTACATGTAGAAATGCTTAAAGTAAGGAATTGGAAAAGGTAGTGTTAGTAGAGTTAAAATGCACAGTGTGTAATTTTTTAAGTAATGGAAATATTACCATATACGGACACCATAACGTTACAAAAGACCCGTGACTCCCTGTTTAGCCCAAAGTCATGCACTTTATAAGCTCCCCCCCAAGATTTAAGGCCTCGGTGTAATTTTTACAAAAGAAGTGATCATTTTCTTAGGCTAATATCTTGCAAACCATTCGGAATTTTTATTTACTTTCTGAGGCAAAGTTATAGCTGTTATCATAAAGAACAAACATATAAAATCAAAAAATCGTCATCATAATTTTTTTCACTTCAAGTGAAATGATTTACATTTGTGAAATTGCACTGCTTTAACGACACCTGTACGTATACGTGTTAATGTTATATTGATGTTACAAATATTAAGTATACGCCTAATTTAGAGAAGCCCTTGAAATATTATTTAACATGTAAACGCTCGCTTCGTGTTGCACTGTGTTGTGTCTGTTGCAAAATGTTATATATTTAGAAAAATGACAGATCTAACATGCAGATCTAACTTGAGGACCTAAATAAGGGGATAAATGTCATCACGTTCTTCGTTTGCGCCAAACTAGTTATAAGACAGGAAAGGTCCAAAAATTACTCTGAGAAGTTTAGTGTACTTTAAGGTGATTGTATTAACATTATTTTTTCCTGTTACAAACAAGAGCACAACCTCATAATACCATCCACGCTATAGCGATTGTAATGTATAAAAACATTATATAATTACGGAATGCAAACGCCAAGTCTTGATCCCATGGGAACGGCTTTTGGTGGCATTTAACATGAAAAATATTTGGAACATTACAAATAAATACAATACATTGTATTTATTTGTGTAAAGTAAACAATATTTTCACCTGCTATACTACAGATACATATTTTTACACATACGACAAAACATATTTATAAAAAAAAATATGTTTTTATTTGAGGTTAGCAGGTTTTGGTTTATATTATTTAACATTCATATGAAAACCACAATTAAAGCGTGCCAATTGTATGCACAAAAAATGAACAAGAGTAAAACCAAATTACACAACAAAAAATGTGTCCCCAGTTAAATACAAAAATTTACTAACAAAAAAAAAATGTAAAATAACAAAAAAATATATAATAATAAAATCGAAATAAATAAAAGAATTCTTGCCAAAAATAAAATAAAACAGTCATGTACTCGTTCATACGTACGAATGTAACATTTCCGCTGTTTTTTTAACGGAAGTAATTTTTTATAAGGGGTTTTTAACCTAAAAAAATATAAAATCTGGAATGTTCAGTTCTTGTTTAATATTTTTTACATAAAACGAATAAAATGAATCAATGAACTTTTTTGATGTATTAAAGTGTAGAAAATGAAAATTATAAAATACACACGTTAACTATTTAATTTTAAAATATTTGTATTCAGTATCAAAAAATATCAACCCATAAACGTGTATGTGTTATGGATCCTAACAAAGTAATGTCTCTATGTTTATCTGACTATCTGTTTTTCTTAATACTTTAAATAAATATTTATTTTACTTAATAACACAATATTTTTCCAAAAAAATTCTATTTTCTAGCTTAATTTCCAATTCTTCTATGTTGTTTTCCATTATCATAAATCATATGTAAGTTCAAAATCAATGTACCATAGCAATATTTTTGGCTATGATTTCGTATGATAACGACCTCTAAAATGCATACATAGATCATTTCTTTATCAACCATAACCATACAATCATAAATTGTTAAAGTACAAGCACATAGACATAAAATGTACATAATTTTCTTTTATTTTTGTGATAGCTACACCCCGCCAGACAATCAGAATTACTCATACTCTGGTGCACGACAATGTCATCATTATTAAGGATTTTCATATGCGTGTGTGTTAATTATCTTATTAAAGGCAAACATAAATGACAGGAGGTCAAATCAAGTCATATGAAAAGTACAGCAGTGTGAAGAATATTTAAAAGACCTTATGAAAGTACTCAGCCTGTTATTTTGGCAAAGTAGAGTAAAGAAGGTTATATGTGCATGTGTTGGTGTTTGTAACATAAAGTTGTGAAGGTCTACTGCTTTCACATCGGAATCTCTTTATAACTTAAGAGTTTAGTTAGTTAGTTAGTTAGATAGTAGTTAGTTAGTTAGTTAGTTGTTAGTTAGTTAGTTAGTTAGTTAGTTAGTTAGTTAGTAGTTAGTTAGTTAGTAGTTAGTTAGTTAGTTAGTTAGGTTAGTTAGTTAGTTAGTTAGTTAGTTGTTAGTTAGTTAGTTAGTTAGTTATGTTAGTTAGTTAGTTAGTTAGTAGTTAGAGTTAGTTAGTTAGTTAGTTAGTTCGTTAGTTAGTTAGTTAGTTAGTAGTTAGTAGTTAGTTAGTTATTTAGTTAGTAGTTAGTAGTTAGTTAGTTAGTTAGTTAGTTAGTTAGTTAGTTAGTTAGTTAGTTAGTTAGTTAGTTAGTTAGTTAGTTAGTTAGTTAGTTAGTTAGTTAGTTAGTTAGTTAGTTAGTTAGTAGTTAGTTAGTTAGTTAGTTAGTTAGTTAGTTAGTTAGTTAGTTAGTTAGTTAGTTAGTTAGTTAGTTAGTTAGTTAGTTAGTTAGTTAGTTAGTAGTTAGTTAGTTAGTTAGTTAGTTAGTTAGTTAGTTAGTTAGTTAGTTAGTTAGTTAGTTAGTTAGTTAGTTAGTTAGTTAGTTAGTTAGTTAGTTAGTAGTTAGTTAGTTAGTTAGTAGTTAGTTAGTTAGTTAGTTGTTAGTTAGTTAGTTAGTTAGTTAGTTAGTTAGTTAGTTAGTTAGTTAGTTAGTTAGTTAGTTAGTTAGTTAGTTAGTTAGTTAGTTAGTTAGTTAGTAGTTAGTTAGTTAGTTAGTTAGTTAGTTAGTTAGTTAGTTAGTTAGTTAGTTAGTTAGTTAGTTAGTTAGTTAGTTAGTTAGTTAGTTAGTTAGTTAGTAGTTAGTTAGTTAGTTAGTTAGTTAGTTAGTTAGTTAGTTAGTTAGTTAGTTAGTTAGTTAGTTAGTTAGTTAGTTAGTTAGTTAGTTAGTTAGTTAGTTAGTTAGTTAGTTAGTTAGTTAGTTAGTTAGTTAGTTAGTTAGTTAGTTAGTTAGTTAGTTAGTTAGTAGTTAGTTAGTTAGTTAGTTAGTTAGTTAGTTAGTTAGTTAGTAGTTAGTTAGTTAGTTAGTTAGTTAGTAGTTAGTTAGTTAGTTAGTAGTTAGTTAGTTAGTTAGGTAGGTAGGTAGGTAGGTAGTAGGGTTTCTGATAGTCGGCTTATGCTTTATTCTTCTTCTTTTCTACTACATTTCTAAATTAAGGACATTTTTGTCCATTGTTCATGATTCTAATTACTCGCACCATATCTCCTACCAAAAACACATGCACGTATGAATGCTCAGACGCCCATATACACACACACATATATTATATCAACTATTTTTGTTCCTTTTTTACATTATCCTTGAATTGCTGCACCAACAACAATAATCTTAGTAAATAGAATGAAGAAAAAAGTATCAGCTATTAAATTAGCAGAAGGACTCAAGACAAGAAAAGACATACTCGTAAGAATATGCTGGCTTTTACTCTATTCCAGTCTGCCGAGTAGAGGCCATTAAAAAAAGTGTTCTTAATGTTTGCTGCCATTCTGATGGGCAGAAAAAAGATGAAGTTAAGGGCATAATACTTACAATGAATACAACTAAACTACAAATGAAATGAACTAAACTCAATGAGTTTGTATTCATTTGTGTGTTTGTCTAAATGTTTGTGCGTATCTATGCGTTTGTTTGCAGTTGCTATGTGTGCGTTCAAAAACAATTCCCCAAAGCAATTAAAACGATAAGACTGACTATAATAACCAAAGTATATTGTAACACTTTGATGATTTTACACACTCATCAGGCTTTAAAGTGGGAAGGGGGTGAGGTGGCATGGAGAGCATCTAAAGTATATAATAATGCTGTATGTTCCTTGAATCTGGTAAAAATCTAACATAGAAATGGCCAAGAGAACATTAATTTAAAACAAAATACAAAACACAAAAAATTTCTATCCCAAACTATAACAGTAAAGTATATAACAACTTTATTTTCCAAAAGATAACATGTAATTGATGTGCAGACAGATACACTCATACTGCATGTACTTCACATTAGTTTGGGGAAAAGAAACTCCACAGGATAAACAAAGGAAAGGAGAGAGAAAAACACAATAATGAATTTAGGCTTCAAAAGCATACGGTGCGTGTTTGAGTTGTTGTTTTTTTTTTGTATAGAGAGAAATGGCTTTAGTCATTAACCAAAAAATTTCAACAACACATCAGGGTTTTCGAATTTAGGAAATTTGGGAAAATTTTATTTATAAGTGATAAGAGGTAAAATGTAAGTCTTAATTTGGCTACATACATAGTTTTACTTTCAAGATTAGATTTTGTTAATCTTATACGAGTTCTTTGTAATTCGTATCGTAATTCAATTCTCTGCATGGCTCATTTGGCTAGAACTCTAATTATTCATATAAGAGTTGACATTAAGAAACTTGCAATTGTTTCTATTAATTTAGTTTGTTATTTAAAGAAATGATTTGTATTTGAAATAGAATTTTCATTTGAAATGTCTTGTATGAAAGCAAAACGCTGCATATATAATTTTTAAAAGTCAGCTGGAAATGTATGTAGCATTACAAGATCAAAATATAAACATGCACAGCTCACATATACAATAAGTCAGCAAGTGAGAAAGTATAGTCGGACGTTGCCGACTATATGATACCCTACACTAGT